AGTAAATGGGGTGACAATCTGGCTAGAGGCTCAGAAGGAGAAATAATAAAATATCATGGATAAGGTGTGAACACAAAATGTGAAGAATTTTGTGTCACAAGTTCATGCATATCAAAGTGCCACTGTCTTAAAGCCACTAAACATGTTCATGGTCCAGCCATGGACATCAGTCAGTCTCTCTCATCCCCGACTGTAGTGCTGGCACAACGGGTACTTAAGTGGAGTAGCCATGGTGATGGGCATGGTGGTTATGAACAGGGCTTCAATTTTCCAAAGGTGACCCAGCCACATCTACTGCCAAATATCCAACCTGTCAATCAGAGAAATCAATGCTGACCTCCCAATTACAGCACCATCCCACAAGGTAACCAAGCTACCATCTGGAGGTAAGCCGACTACAAGTGGACCTCTTCTACCCTGGAAGAAGCAGGTATTCATCTTGACTAAGGTTGTTATATATTCTAAGAATGAACTTTCCTTTCCTATCCACATGACCCAGCCAACAGCACCCACCTGAGGAGTAAGAATGTGTGATCTACTGACACAAGATCCCATAGAATACTGCCTTGGACCAAAGAGTACAATCTCATACTGCATAAAGCCACCAGCATGACAGAATGGTGGGATGGCCTCTTAAAGATACAGTTAAGGCTCTGGCTTGGAGATGATACATTTGAGGTTGAGATGCCACCCTAATCAGGAACTATTATGTGGTACTGTATCCCCAGTATGTAGAACTATGTGGGAAAGTGGGTGGCATTCCCAGTGGTACACTTGGAAGGTTTGTGCTTCATGTCCCCATTTTAGATCTGTGGGTCAGGAGGTCTCGTACCCAGGGGGATGATACTTCACTTCAGAGTCTCACTGTACTTTATTCTATAGCTGCAATTCAAGTCACTTTAGTCTCCTTATGCCGAGATACCAGCAGGAAGTCAAGGAGTCACTAAACTAGCAGACATCATTGATCCTGATCATCAGGGGAGGGTAAAGCTCTGTTACAGAATTCAGAGAGGGAACAATTTTTGGCACACAAATGATCCAGTGGAATCTCCTGATGCTCCCATCCCCAGTTTTAACAGTAAACAGACAAGAACAGAAGCCATAATCTAAGATGAGAATGGTGGAGATGAGGATTTGGGTCACCCTACCAGACAATATGCCTAGACAGCATGGATGCTAGCTGAGGCAGACCTAGAATGGGTGGTGGAGAAGGAAATAAAGTGTCAATTACTGAAGGCTTGAGATCTATTGCAGCTGTAGCAACTGTAGCTTGCCCACAAATCTTGTAAATTTCCCCAGCAATAAAAGCCAATCAGAATCCTAGAGTTGGGATTATTAGGTGGATGAATTTACCATAAGAAACAGTTGGTGGCACAGGAAAAGATGCTCAACATCACTCCTCATCAGGGAAATGCAAATAAAAGCCACAATGAGATCTCATCTTACACCTGTCAGAATGACTAGACACAAAAGGACAAGAAATAACAAGTGTTGGTGAGGATATGGAGAAAAAATAACTCTCATGGACTGTTGGGAATGTAAACTGGTGCAATCACTGTGAAAAACAGTATGGAGTTTCCTCAAAAAATTAAAAATAGAAATACCACATGATCCAGTAATTCCACTACTGGGTATTTACCCAAAGAAAATGAAAACACTAATTTGAAAAGATATAGGTACCCCCATATGTTTACTGCAATATTGTTTATAACAGTCAAAATACGGAAGCAACCCGAGCACCTATCAATACATGAACGGATAAAGAAGATGCAGAGTGTGTGAGCATACACACACACACACACTGGAATAATACAGTTATAAAACTGAAATCTTGCCAATTGTGCCAACATGGATGGACCTAGAGAGTATTATGCTAAGTGACACAAGACAAAGAAAAATATAATATGATTTCACTTATACAGAGAATCTAAGAAACAAATGAACAAGGAACACACACAAAAAGCAGGAACAGGCCCATAAATACAACTAATGGTTGCCAGAAGGGAGAAGAGTGGGGGGCTGTGTAAAATGGGTACTAGAGATGGGGAGGTCCAGGCTTCCAGTTATGGGATGAATAAGACACAGGGAGAAAAGCAGAGTGTACAGAATATAGTCAGGGGTGCTGTAACAGCGAGGTATGGGGACAGGTGGGAGCTACACCTGTGGTGAGCACAGCATAACGTAGAGAGGTGTGGAATCACTGTGTGGTTAACCTGCAACTAACGTAACACTGAGTGTCCACTGCACTTCAGTAAAACAAGGGAAGCAGCAGCAGCTGGGTCTGAGCAGCACAAGGGATGAACTGTAATGGACGCTCCTCTTCAAAGCTGCGAGCCCATGCACCCACAGGCCCAGGCACCCATTCCCCAGCTGCAGCTCTTTCCTAGGCAGACCTAGTTTCTGTCCTTACCACAAATATGAACTGAATTAAATCCTCAACCCACAACCTGAACGAGCCTTAATAATTTGCTAACTCTTAAAATTAACACCTTCACTTGAATCCCCCCAACACTCAAGGGCACTTAGGCAACTAGTTTAAATTGGAATCAAACCAAACCAGAACATCAGATTTTCTCAGATCTAGGCCCAAGCCACAGTTTCAGACACTGTGTGAATTTAACCCTGGCTAGCCTCTTTCTGGCCTTAGCAGCTCTTGCTGATCAGAAGCTTCTAACTTACTCAGATGGGGAAGAAAAAATTGGTTGTATTTCCAAAAGTAATTCCACACCCACACAATATCATAACCACTTCCCTTCCAAGTCATATCATATAAATAAGTGACACCTGGCTGTGGTTAATCATGTCTCGATTCTCCTCTAATTAAGCCTAACAAAGGCTCTGAATATAAGGCTCTGATTTATCTTAACTTCATTTAGTATGAGCCTGCCTCACGGGTCAGGCAAATCTTTGGATTTCTCAACAAAGACTGGGGATAGGAGTGGGAGTAGGGAGGGAGTTTAAAAAAAAAAAAAAGGCAGTTTTCATGTGAAAAATTATTCTTAGAGGTCTTCAGATTGCTGCTCACATGAGATACAGGTCTGGGTTTCAGCACCATGAGGTCAGGAACTCATCTTTGTATTCAACATATCGCTTAGCCTGGCTGTCTGGCACTCAGTAGATCAGTAGTCACTGCAGAGTTCCTTGGGCCTTGATGGTGGTTGGCACCAGAGCCTTTGGCAAGGACACTCTGAAAGTAGCCTACCCAAGCTAGAACAGGCTCTCTTCAAGCTGCACTGCCAAGGCTGCTGCCACTTGGTTTACACTGGGCATTGGAATCTGGGTATATTGTCAGCCACAGCCACTCAACTCAAGTTAGCACTGCCTGAAGCAGTTCTCCTTAGGGCTTTAACATGGTAGCCAAAAAGACCTGTTTCAAAGGAATGAGCCCACATGTAGTATAATTCTCAGAGTTTATTAAACTGTGCAAGCTTGAATACATACTCTGTGCATGTGAATCAATGCCGGAAACTTTGGATTTGACAGGGTCGCTGGTGCCATGCTCTGGAGGAACCGGTGGGCTTCCTGGGCCAACTCTCCCAGGGGAAGGCTTGGTGGTTCCACTCTTCCCTGGATTCCATGATGTCCTGAGTATCCTTCCAGTACATTTACACTTAGGTTCTCTCCAGTTGGTTTGTTATTTGCAAGCAGAAGAAAAGCACTTTAGAGAAAACCAGTGTCCTAAGCTGGTTTCTTGGGGAATGATAGTGTCACAGAAGGAAGTGGTGAGAGGTGGAAAGGAATGCTGAGTGGAGAGTTGGGGTGAAGGCTCTAAAAAGCCGTCTTTCTTCAGCTACAGGCGAGGGACTGTGTGTAGACTGCTGACTGGAGCTCAGCAGAGGACTGTGAGCGGCAGAGCCCAGGAAGGGTGGGTTTTAAGTATTCATTTTAAAAGTTGAGTACCTTCTCTTCCTCTCTTTTCTGCTTAGGAATCTCCCCAACAGTTCTTCCTCCAACTACTTGTTTGGTTTTAAGATTTTATTTATTCATGAGAGACATAGAGACACAGGCAGAAGGAGAAGCAGGTTCCCTGCAGGGAGCCTGATATGGAACTCAATCCAGGACCCCGGGATCACACCCTGAGCCAAAGGCACATGATCAACCACTGAGCCACCCAGGTACCCCCCCCCCCAACTACTTGTTTTGAGTCTCCTTCAGCTTCTTTTCCAAGGTGCTGTCAACAAGAGGGCCACAGAATTCTTTTGATTCCAGGATTATTTCTCAGAGTTATCAGGCATTTTCATTGAGCCTGAGGAAGGTGCCCAAATCCCTGCCCCATCTCTCCATCTTCCCAAGCATCTTATTGTGAAAATGTTGAAGTCAAATCCTGCCTCCAACTCAAGGGGTCTGCTTAGATGAGTTTACTGGCTGCTGCTGGGAAGGGCGGGCTAAATTAGGAAAGGGAAGAGAGCTGTGAATTTAAGAGGACTACACCAAATCTGTGTGGGAGGAGGAAAGGAAGAGAGCAGGAATTTGGACCATTTATTTGCAGCATGTCTTACTGACAGTTAAATACAGTGGTTTGTTCTGTTTTCTGCCACTCGAGGGTTATTTAATTAAATTCATGACCTAGGATGCTAACCAGCCCCACATCTAAAATAATTGCTTCTCTGTTGGTGAGATGTAAAGCCAGGATTGATTTTCCCCTGGCCGATAGCTCTCCTTTCTGAGTCATGAATGTCATCTCCACTCTCCTCCCCACGTAATTTGATCTCTGTATTTGATCCCTATTTAGTAGTACACTTCGCTAAACAGATGTCTGAGTAATTAAAATCCCACATGGGCACATTCGTCCGTGAGTTACATCTATTTAATAGCCAGCTCAGAAACTTTTCACCCTCGGCTCTTCTGCTGTCCTGGTGTCCTATGTCGCTGGTTTTTAGCAAGCTTCAAATATGAGAGTTCCAGCCGGCTATGTTTGTTTTCCTGCATTCACAGAGCCTCTCATCAGTTTCTGATGAATTTTCTCACAAATCCCTGATCTTTTTCCTCCTTCAACTTACCTGGATTTTCTGTACAATTTTCCACCAGCATTCAAATTCTCATGAGATGAATCATCCTACATTTCATTCATGCCAGCACCAGCAATAAAAAAAAAAAAAAGAAAGAAAGAAAAGAAATCAGAACAATGTTGTTAGAACCATGGATTAAGAGTGCCTTTTATTTTTTCCCCTGAGGCATAGCCAAATATTTCAGTCTGAACAATCCCCCCATTTTTTTAAAAAACAATTTGAGATCAAATACTGGAAACCTGTTGGGTCACTGAAAGATTTTGATGGCCAAAAATTATAGAAGAATGTGTGTTTGGAGCAAGAAAGGGAAGTTAGGAAGGAATGGAATTCACTCACTTTTGAGAGATGACTTGGATGGAAATTTATTTATGAAAATATAAAGAGATAATGTTCTTGTAATAAATCTTATGATACTGATATAACATTACATAAAACTTGAGGTAAATGCTTTAATTTACAGTAGGTAAAAGAATTTCCCTTGTAGTTGATGGGGCATCTTGACTTTAAGAACATTTTTTTTTTTTAAGATTTTATTTATTCATGAGAGAGAGGCAGAGACACAGGCAGAGGGAGAAGCAGGCTCCACGCAGGAAGCCCAACATGGGACTCAATCCTGGGACTCCAGGATCATGCCCCGAGCCAAAGGCAGACGCTCAAACACTGAACCACCCAGGCATCCCAAGAATATTTTGATATGAGGTTAGGATATATTTATCTTTTCTGATACCTGTCAGTTCAGACTTGAACAAAATCAGATAAATGAGTAGGTGAGAGTTACATAAATTATTTTCCTACTTTTATTTATTTTTTAAAGATTTTGTTTATTTGAAGAGAGAGACAGAGATAGCAACAGAGAACACAAGCAAGGAGGAGAGGGAGAAGCAGGCTCCCCACTGAGCAGGGAGCCTGACTGAAGGCTTGATCCCAGGACCCCGGCAGATGCCCAACCAACTGAGCCACCCAGGAACCCCTATTTTCCTTTTAAATAGAGTTCCAGGGCAATTAATATGGATTATTTCATAAAAGTAAGTTTCTCAAAACATGTATGCTTCTTGTGAAGTTTCTTTGTATTTGCAACACCGCAGGCATAAAAAATAATGTAATCAAAAAGTAAGCAACGAGTTCAGAAGTCAACTAATATTAGTTTGGTTATAGGTAAGGAAATTCTAAAAGTATTTGTCCCAACTTTATTATCATGATTGTATTTAAAAACTAGGTGAAGATGCTATTGTGTGAGGGGAGCTTTGTTTTGGTGGTTTACACAACTTGTATCCTTGTTATCTGAAGCAGTAAAGGCCAGGTACATAAACAGAGACATAAATTATCAACAGGATTCTTAGATCAACAGTGACATGGAGTAGGAGCTAGTATTTCAGGAAGGCAGACGAGTTCGACATGATGGATGTGATTTCTTTCACTGTTTATCATCTAGCATTGTTATAAACCTGATGGGTCCTGAGCTAGCTGTGCTCAGGATAAACTCCTCTTGCCTGTTCCCAGCTCCCTTCCCATCCATGCAGTTTGTACTTTATTTAATAAAGTTCACGGCATTTCTTTCTCTGATCCAAGTCTTCTAAGGCTTATTTCCCCTGCAGTCATTTCTTATCACATGCTCATATATGCTCCGCTGTCAGCTTCTTTCAGATCATTAAAAAAAAAAATTACTAATTCCAATAACTCATTTATTTCTGACCTTAGTGTAAACTGGGGAGAATTTTTCTGACCTCACCAAGTTGTGAGGGTCCAAAGACCTCCTGTAGATGAAAGGGCTTTATTACACAGTTACATGTGGCCCCGGCGCTTGGGCTCCAGTCCCAACTGCCTGGTTCAAATATTATTTTCTAGCTGTGAGATTGTTAGCAAGCTACTTAACTTCCCTGTACTCATTTCCTAATGTGGAAAATGGACATCATAAAAGTACCCAAATCCTGGGGTTGTTTGGTGATGGTTTCATGAGACAATTCGTGCATATTACAAGGTCAGAACATGCTTCGAGGGATCCCTAGGTGGCGCAGCGGTTTGGCGCCTGCCTTTGGCCCAGGGCGTGATCCTGGAGACCCGGGATCGAATCCCACGTCAGGCTCCCGGTGCATGGAGCCTGCTTCTCTCTCTGCCTGTGTCTCTGCCTCTCTCTCTCTCTGTGTGACTATCATAAATAATAATAAAAAAAATTAGAAAAAAAAGAACATGCTTCGAACAGTCCGTTTTATGTCCCAGTGAGTGTTAGCACAAGTCTAGGCATCAGTTCACGTCCACAACTCCATCTCTCTCCAGCCCTGGGCCTTTGGGGACCGGTCCTCATTTAGGAACTGTGGAGTGCTAGGTTATCTCACTTAAGCATGGTCTGTGACAGCCAAGGTTGGGGCAGGATGTAAGAATTCTGGATGAGCACATGTATAACCGGCAGGTATTTTTAACAGCTGCCTCTTTCTTAAATCCTGTTCATTGGACTTGGCTTCTTCTCCAATGACTTTATTTTGAACGATTTGATTATCTTGATATTTCAGTTTCCAGCCTATTTGTACTTACATCACAAAGATAAACCCTTCTTAATCTGGAAAATGGGGACAGTAAGAGTATCTGCCCCTGGGTGTGTAGTGAGATGAATTAAGTGAACCTCTTGACAGAGGAGAGAGGGAAGCACAATATCCTAGGGGTGCTTTTGAAAAATAAACTGGGCAAAAAGCATTTGTAATCCAACTATCATCACCTGAAATGACATAGGAAAAAAAAAAGTATAAACAACAAAAACCTAGCATTCTAAAAATGAGATAAATGATTCTTCCAAATGAATTTTCTTCTTCAAAGGGGTCCCATTTGAATCTGTAATACATAACACATAACTCAAAATGCAATAATGCTGCTTTTGGATAAAAACAGATGGGATTTCTTTTTTGAAAAGGCTTTTTTAAGGGCACCTGGGTGGCTCAGCAGTTGAGCATATCTGCCTTTGACTTAGGGCATGATCAAGAATCTCAGGAATGCCTGGGTGGCTCAGTGGTTGAGTGTCTGCCTTTGACTCAGGGCGTGATCCTGGAGTTCCTGGATCAAGTCCCACAGGGCAGCCTGCTTCTCCCTCTGCCTATGTCTCTTCCTCTCTCACTGCATCTCATGAATAAATAAACTAAAAAAAAAAAAAAGGCTTTTAAGGACCTTGGTACAAATACTAACTCTGCCATTTTATGATATTTATGACAAATATCTATTTCTCAACTTATTAATATTGTTTATATAATTGACATATAGATGTTCTCAATGCTTAAGCAAATATATCTATAAGATATCTTCCATTTTTTTGTGGTTAGTTTCTTCCCATCCAAAATCCCTTAAATATTCACTTGTATTTTCTTTTAGTTCATTTACAGCTTCATCTTCCCATTTGTCTCTTTAATCTATCTAGGATGGATTTCAGTGTACAGTATGAAATAAGCATCTAAATGATTTTTTTTTCTCCCAGATGATTGGCCAGTTTTGCAAGTACTAGTTATTGAATAATCTACGTTCTCTTCATTGCCTGATGCATCATTTATTGGTATGTTGAATTTTCTTTCATGGCATTTTTTCTGAAATATTAATCTATTTGTCAATCTTTTCTCAGTAGTTCAAAATCACTGTAATTATTGCAGTTTTACAGTACGTATTAACATCTGGTACAATGAATCTCCTGTAATTACTCTTCCTTTTCAAAGTAGTCTGGTTACTCCTATTTTTTTCCTCCAAATGGAAATTAATTTTTTCAACTTCAAAAAAAATCCTATTGGGATTTTGGTTAAAGTTGCAAATAAAGGAATAGATACATTTCTCTAGGGGCGGAACAGATTTCTCAATCTATTCAAATCTTCTTGTTTTTGTGGGTTTTTTTTCTTTTTTGGGGGCACCCATCCTTTCCAGTTCTTGCCAATACTATTTATATGTAAATAGATCTTTTAAAAAAATACATATATCCCAACAGGTTATTGCTGGATCACTGGAAAAGTTACTGATTTTTAATACTAATTGTTATAACAGCTTTTCAATCAAGTCTCTTGAGATTTCTAGGCAAAACAATATCATTGGCAAATAAAGGCAAATATTCTTTTGCTTTTCAATATTTTATTTTTTGTTTTTTTTTTACTTATTTGTTTCTTATTAAAGAATTACTTCAGCATAATTTTAAAGAACAGTATTGATAGCAGGCATCTTTATACCTGATTTTAATGAGAATGCCTCTCTTGTCATATCATTAAGCACTGAAATTTTAAAATATACATAAAGGGAGACTGAATAGTAAAATGAACTCTCTCATGTGCCCATCACCTAGCCTCAATAATTATCAACATTTTTGCAAACACTCTTAGTACAATTATAAACTAATCTAACCTTTCTAGATGCTAATTTGCAAATATCTATCCAAAGATGGGTCCAGCAATTCCATGGTTAGGCATTAATCCTATACTAGCACCAATAAGCATAGGTATTCAAGAAGGCTCACTGTAACTATATATAATTGTAGAAAACTAGACAAAATATTCCCCAGTAGGTAAGTGAAAAATTATGGTATATTCACTAACTCAGGTTTGTGAAAAATTTTGATAGACCTATGTACTGATGTGGGAAGATATCCAATGTATTTTACACAATGAAAATAGTAAGTGCAAAACAATATGTAAAGTATGATTCTGTTTTTTTCAAGGGGGATGGTCATATCCTTTAATGTGCATGGAAAACCTCTGGGAGGATATGTAAAACTGTTAATAGAGGTCACCTCTGGGAATGAAGAGTGGTGGTTAATGGGAAGAATAAACTTTACACTTTCTCCTCTTTCTTATATTTGGATGTCTTACCCATTAGCATGATTATTTTTTTAAAAGATTTTATTTATTTATTCATGAAAGACACAGAGAGAGAAGCAGGCTCCCTGTGGGGAGTCCGATGCTGGACTCGATCTTGGACCCCGGGATCACGACCTGAGCCAAAGGCAGACACTCAACACTGAGCCACCAGGTGCCCCTAGCATGATTATTTAAAAAAAAAAAAAACTTTATTAAAGGATATGATGTTAGGTCTTAGTTTAGTATTTATCAAGAAGTTTTTAAAAATTTTGTTGTTTTCATCAGGAGTGTTAGATTTTTATCACCTATTAAGATGATAGGGGTTTTCATATGTGATTTGTTACTTCAATTATTCTATTATCTAAATTCCTTGCATTTCTAGGGCAAAATATATCTGATCATGTTAAAAATTACTTGAATTCAATTTGCTCATATTTTCTTTTTTTTTTTTAAGATTTTATTTTTAAAGGTTTATTTTAGAGAGAGACAGCATGGTGGGGAGGTGCAGATGGAGAGGAAGAGAGAGAATCCTCAAAGAGACTCCCTGTTCAGTGTGGAGCCCAACACAGGGCTTGATTCCATGACTCTGAGATCATGACCTGAGCCAAAACCACGAGTTGGACAATTAACCAACTGAGTCACCCAGGCACCCCCAAGATTTTATTAAGTAATCTCTCCACCCAATGTAGGGCTCAAGTGCACAACCCGGAGATTGAGTCACATGTTCCACTGACTGAGCCAGTCAGGTGCCCCTGATTTTGTCATATTTTCAAGGGGAATTTTGACATTGAATTTCTTATGAGTTTATATTTTCTAACTGTACTTTTTGTAATATTTTTGACAGGCTTTACAATAATTACATTTGCTTCATAAAATGGGTTAAATTTTTATATCTTTATACATTTAGAAAATATATGTTCTTCAAACCTTTTTTGATTTCTTCTCTGGTTTTGATCTACTTATTTTTTTCCTACTTCTTTATTCAATTTGAGTGATTTGTGTTTTTCCAGAAAAATGTAGTAACATGTAGCTAACTATATAGTATTCTCATATAATTGAAAAAAAAAAAAAACCCAAAACCTTTCCATTGCTATTATAGATTTGCCAGATATTTCCCTACTTTCTTCCTATTTTTTCCAAGAAAATAACTTTTGGAATTGATCAGTAACTGTATTTTTTGTTTTCTAATTCACTGATTTCTGCTTCAATCTTTCCTTAATTCTCCTTTTCTCAAAGTTAATTTAAGTATTACTGAGTTCACTTATTTTTATTCTTTCTTGTTGAATTTTCTCCTGCTAAGCAATGTTACTAAAGTTGGTCTGGTTTCAAATGAGTTTGGGGTATTTCTAAAAATTAAATCTAATCTCAGAGGAGGAAGATTTTCTATCACTGATGGGATGATGTCATTTAAAGAAATGTGACTCAGTCTCTTTTGGCAAATTTCTAAAGAATTCTTAAAATGTTTTGAGTAATGGAAATACAATTGCAGCAAGCTTATGGCCTATTCTGAAGGGGCCAACACCTATTTGTATGTATAAAACCTGTACATTTGCAAGAACATTAACTGTCTTTATATATTTGAAGAGAATCAAGTACTAGGATTTAAAAGGTAGCTCACATTTGCTTAATGGGATGTCCTCTGATACCACATATTATAACTGAAAGTATGATTAAATGATTTTTCGTTTTGTGAAAATGTGTTTATATACTTTCTGTGTACAGCTTGGTTTTATATTTACTTGTAATTGAAATTAATCCCAAATAGAAATGCAGATTTTTCAAATGCAAAGATTAAAAATTGTTCACATGATAGGATGACAAAGTTTTCTCTGTAAAAATCAATTCACTACGACGATGCTGATGAAGGTAGAGCATTTTTCTAAAATAATTTTTAAACACTCTGATAGGCCACATTATAAGCAATAAAAAGGAGTCATAAAAAATATTGTGCCAAGGTAGATTTGCAGGTGTGACCTTTGCCAACGTATGTAGAATATCATTAGATCCACATGTTTGTAGATTATGTAACAGTATTTAAGTGGCCAGGAAAGGAAGGATTTTGTGGTCAAGAAAGTGGAAATGTCCTTTTTAACATATGACCCTAACCAATCCCATCTCAAATAACTGTTGATCAAGTTACAGATGGTTGGCAAGTCATGTGGGAGGGAAGAGAAAGGTCTGACAAAGTTGCTAAAAACAGGCCACAAAGCGAGTGGCTGTTACCATTAAAAATATAAGCTTACTGAAGGCTTCAAAAATTAAAATAATGCAAAGAAAAACTGTTTTGCAAAGCATTCAAGAAAAAGTTGCTTTAAAAGGCTTTTACATAAAATTTTAGGAAAGACAGCATGGTTTTATGAATAAACAAAATACATAACTAGTCACCCAACTAGTAACGTTATGATCATGATGAAAAACATTTTTCAAATACATTTGAAATATACACGTATTTCTTTTGCACCTACATGCAGTTCAAGTTTTTTAAGCTTCCAAATATTTAAAACCTACAAATGTCTGTGTTCTAGGAATTTACTTTGAGATATTAGGAACGAATAAGTGGAAAAGCACAGTTTTATCTCTATCAACTTCATACAGAGGCATGTATATATACATTTATGTGTTCAGTACTGAAAAGGTTGCCTTTTAAAGTAGCAGTTTAGGGTTAACAAGACAGTAAGCCAGAGCCAAAAATAACCTTAATTTTGTTTGTTATTGCGGCTGTGAAATTTTCAGTAAAGCACAGACCTAAAGCCCAAATGCTGCTAAAGGATTACCTAGAAAGCAGAGCCTGAGGCCAAGTTTAAGTGCTAAGATTTGATTAGGAGGTACAATCCCAGGGCAGCAAGGGTAAGAGGAAATGCAAAGGAAACAAATACAAGGCAGTACATCACTGAGCTGAAAACAGCTTCACAAGAAAGTAGAGCTGATTGCTCAGTCCCCAAGGAAAGCTTCCAGACAAACCATACAAAACCATCTTGTCTTGAGACCTTCTGTCTGTGGAGAAAAAAGGGGAGGAATTTATATGATGGCTACTTCTTGCTTTGTTCTATTTGGTGCAAATTTGTCTCACGGGGCTCAAATGCCCCCATTCTTCTGGGTTTGCCAGATGACCTCTCCAGGCTAGTGCCCGGGAAGCCAGAGCCTGTTGAAGCCCAAGGGTTTTCACCTGACACTGGGGCTGATGGGAGGAGCCAGAGTCTCCTATACCTCAGAACCGTGGTCTGAGAGAGAGGCAGTGCTGAAGCCTGACCCTCAACCAGAGGGGGACCGTCACAAGAGGAAGCCACAGAAGCAGAGGCCAGGCCTTTGCACTAAGAGACTGAGAAAGGGTTTGGGGGCGGGACTGTGCATATGCGGGGAGGTGCATAAACCGGGTCTGGTATAGTGTATCCTTCTAGGACTTGAGCTCTTCCTAGTGGTGGTGTTCACTGCTTCTTAGAGGAGGAGGAGCCCCTCAATTCAGAGAGAGCACACATCCAGGTCTCAAGTTTTGTAAACCAACGTGTCCCTTGGTCCTCAACTATCCCTCTCCCCCATTTGGGAGGTGTAATTTGGATATGATACAGTTCACTTATTTGGATCTGACGGTGAGATAAATGTTGTCAACTGTATGTCTCATAACCATCCCTCCTATCAACACATAGAATTGTTCCATCACCCCCAAAAGGTCCCCTCCTGCTCCTTTGCATTCCATCCTAGGCAACTGCTTCCCGTCACCCTAGTTTTGCCTCTTCTAGAATCTCATATAAATGGAATCATTCAGACTAAGGCCTTCTGTGTTTACCTTTTCCCCCACTGCACAAGGTTTTGCAGGTCCATCCATGTTGCTCCGTGTATGAAGAGTGTGTCCCTTTTTATTCCTATTCCGGAGCGCTGACACTCCATGCTAAACGTCGGGCGGGCATCTTTACCTGCATTATCTCACCTGGAATCCTCACAACCATCGTGCTGCACAGTGGAAGGACCCAAGGCTCAGGGAGCCCAGCGGTGGGGTTTGGGGGTGGGGGTGGGGGTGGAGACAGGCCGACTCCTGCCAGTCAGCGAGCCCGCGGCGGCTCCGCACAGCAGGCTCCGCAGCCCGACCCGTGGCACCTGCTGTCCAGCCCGAGCGGGGGGCCGACGGGGCCCGACCGCTCACAGGCTCGGGACGTGGGCCCCGCGGCCGCCCCCCGGCCTCCGAGGCCTGTCTGCTCCCGCAGAGCGGCCGGCCGTGGCCACTTCCAGGGGCGGAGGCGGGGCGGCCGCGGAGTTCCGCAGCCCCCGCGGGCCGGGCTCCGGGCGCCGAGCGAGGGCCGGCGGCAGCGAGGGCGCCGCGGCGTTTGTGCGGACGCGTCACGGCGAGGCGCAGGCCGTACCGCGCGCCGCCCGGGCGTTTCACCCCGCGCCGCCCGGGCGTTTCCCTCCGCGCGCGGACGGCGCTACTTGCAGCCGCGGCCGCTGGGCCCGAGGGGGTGGGGGCGGGGGCGCCGAGCCGTCGGCGTGGGCGCGGCGTCAACCGTCAACCGCAGCCGCTGGAGGGGCCACGGCGGAGCGCGCGGGCGGCCGGGGGGTCCGCCGCTTGCAGGGCTCGCCGCGCGGTCCCGGCCCCCGGGAAGGACGCCGGCCCTCAGGTCCTCCTCGGGGCGATAATATGTGGAGCCTCACTTTAGGGCGGCAAGGGAGACAAAGATGACGGCGTTTGGCCCTGTGGCGCGGAGCGGCCCGCCCGCCGCTATTGTGTGGCCGCCTGACGGAGCAGCAGCGCTGTTTTTCTTACTCCCAACGTGGTGATCCGGTGGCAGCAGAGGGACTTACAAGGAGGCTTTGTCTGCAGAAGAGCTGCTGCGACACGGCCTCTCCTGAAAGGCCGCCCGGCCGCCTTCCGCGGGGACCGCCCGCAAATTTTTTTTTTCCCATATCAATTAGGGGGGGGGAATCTGCATTTTCCTCCCCACCTTTTTCTTCAGATTTGAGCCCCAGGTGTCTGCCGCAGGAAAGAGCTACCACCCGCCTTGACTTTACCTCCTTTATGTTAGTCGTCAGCCACCCGAAAACTGTTGACGTAACAGAGGGCTTTATGGGCCCTTTCAGCAGCGTCCTGTGCTGTCTCGGGAATAATTAGGAAACGGTGGATGTGGGCGATGCTCAGGCACACGGAGCGCCCGCGTTTGTTTGGTTGAATCCACCCGGGTGCTCCGACGCAGGCCCCGGCAGGGGGGAGGGGAGGACAGGGAGTCACAGCTACTTGGGGAGCCAGGGAAGGTGCCCGGCGGGAGGAGGAGAGCCGCTGGGCCCTTGTAATAATAGCGCCAAAGTTTGGATTTACAGCTCCGCCCTGCTGCTCTCCCATACCCCTCTTTTATTTCTTCACTGCGTTTACAACCACCTGATAACGTGTATTTTTACACATTTATTGGCGTCTCTCCCCGCTTGCTACTTGTGTACTGTCGTTCCCTGGAGCCTAGTACGGTACCTGGCAAAGTACTGGGGGCTTTGCAAATATTTAGTGAAATGAGTGATTTCCAAGCAGACGTGACGCGTGACGTAAAGGCATTGTGAGGGAATCACCAACCCGGAAGCCACGTGACGCCAGGAAAATGGATCTCGTCAAACGTGCGCTTTTCGTCGTGGAGCCATAATTGATAAGGAATAAGCCAAAAGATAGTCACACCACCATTCCATTTTCCAATGAAAAATAGGAAGATAAATGAGCTGGCGCTTTCAGGTTGCTTTCCCTTCTTTCTGGGGCTTGATTTTCTGAGGGAAGCCTACCGAAAAATCTGTGAGGACGATGGATTCCTGGTAACCCTGGGCACATGCTCACCTCTGAGAGTTTAGGTGGACTGTCTGATGAGCAAGACATGGGGCTTCGCGACATTGAGAACACATTATACACATCAATGTTACGTATATATTTTTCTGTCCTGGAGCCTCTCACGTATATTACACATCTGAAGAGTGTGTTTTACACGAAAATATGCTGGCTGAATACTTACTACCTGAACGCCCCTTCAAAAATGGCTGATTCATAAATGATGGATTTTTTAAGAATTTTATTTGAGCGAGTGGGAGAGAGCACTCTCACGTGCCCACAAGAGAGGGAGTGGCAGCGAGTGGGAGAGGCAGAAAGAGAGGGAGAGGGACAAGCAGACTCTGACGAGTGCCAGCCCCAGGCACAGGACTGGATCTCACATCCCTAAGATTGTGACCTGAGCAAAAACCAAGAGACACTTAACCGAAGGAGCCACCCAGGTGCCCCGGATTGGTTTCCAAGGAAATGAAAATGGAGTGTTTGAGAGTGAAGAGAATCAGAATAACCAGCCCCTTTAAGGAATTATCCCTGTCTCAACCTCCTTTTCTCTGACACTTTGGTTAGGAAAGGACCACAACCAAACCTTGCCTAGGAGAGTTTATAATAACCTGTCAGAGTATACCTGATAGGTTGGAAAACTAAGTTTAAAATCTTATATGTCAATGCCTCAATCATCCAGTAATCATGGCATCCTGGTATGCAAAATTGGAGGTATCCTGGAAGATCGTTCAACAAATACACTTTATTTATTGAATATTATGTGCTAGGCATTGTTCCAGGTGCTGTAGATATAGCAGTGGGAAAAAAGAAACAGCAATCTCTCCCTTGCTTTATATTGTTCCACTTTCAGGCCCCTTCCATCCTTTCACTACATCTTTTAAAAATCAAATCCTTTTAAAACCTAAGTTTTGGCCAGAAAAAGTCCATTTCTCAAATTTTCTTTTTATGGCTATAATTTTTGAAAGTTTAAAAATGACTCTCCTGGATTCCTTTAGTTGGCTGTAAGTGAAGATAATTACTATCCAAACAGCTTTCACCCTTCCACAAGAATGTTTCCTTCACCTAGACTTTACCTGACCATACCAATCTTAGAGTAGCATACAATAAAACATAATGTGGAGAACAGCAATATTAAACAAAATTTTAAAAACAAAAGTATTCCTTTACCAGATTTTATTTTCTTAAGGAATAAACTAAATGCTGATGTGGAAACTCAGAATATAAATGAACAATAAGATTCTAGTGGAAACTCAGAATATAAATGAACAATAAGGTTCTAGTACCAGAAGGAATTTCAAGCCTGTTATCATAGTTGTACTAATTCTGCTCTCTTCCACCAATTTCCTCTAAATTTTTTCCCTTTCATTCAGTCTAAAATGCTCACATAAGATCCTGGCTTAACTACGAACTATGGCCTTCCCCATTTCACATTTAAATGTGTTAAAGTTCAACTTTGCTTAAACATTCCTGAGCTATCCTATATTCCTGCTCATTCTTTTCACCCTAAACTGAAAGCATACCTCCTCTCTGTCCTCTCCATCTTTTCTCATCTCTTCCCCACCCGGAGTTGCTCAAGCCTAAGGGTTAGAGTTGTATTCTCCAGCATGCTAGTGATTCTCAACCCTGGTTAGCATGTTAGAATCGCCTGGGAGACCTTAAAAAAATACTGGCTTCTTGGGCCTGCCCGGACCAAAGAATTAGAATCCTTGGAAGTAGAGCCCCAAAACTCGCATTTTTCTAAAGGTCTTGGAAAATTTGAATGAAAGCCAGTTTGAGAAACAGTGCAGTGGGCAGCTAAGTATCTAAAGCAGTGTTTCTCAAACCTCAGCATTTCAGAATCACCTGAAAGCGCTTGTTCAAACGCAAATCACTAGTTCCTACACCCTGAGTCTGATTCAGTAGATTTGGGGTACGGGCCCAAGAATTAGCACTTCTAACTAGTTCACAGATGATGCTACTGCTGCTACCATGATATAATCCCCCCAAACAGGGGCACCATAAAAAAAAAAAAAGAAAGAAAAAATCAGATTGCATTTGTTATTTCAAACAAAGCGTTCAAGTTAACTATCATGGTGCAAATCAGAAACTTTTGGGGCTTCTGTACCTTTATTTTATGGTTTACATGATTTTTTATTTAGAATTATATTTGGGGGGATCCCTGGGTGGCGCAGTGGTTTGGTGCCTGCCTTTGGCCCAGGGCGCGATCCTGGAGACCCGGGATCGAATCCCACGTCGGGCTCCCGGTGCATGGAGCCTGCTTCTCCCTCTGCCTGTGTCTCTGCCTCTCTCTCTCTCACTGTGTGCCTATCATAAATAAATAAAAATTAAAAAAAATATTAAAAAAAAGAATTATATTTGGGGAGAGAGATGGGACTCCCCTAATTTTTTTGTTGCTAGGGGAGGCTTCTAAAAATCTTAAGCCTTATAGTTATTAAGTCCCCCACAGACCAGTGCATCTCTTCCTGTAAACCTCAGCTTTCATCCTTCCGTGAGAGCATCTCCTTCACCAGATTTTGCCTGACCATAACAAGTCATAATGGCCCACAACAAAACATTATATGAAGAAAAGTAAAACATACACACTCCCATATACCCCCCATTCCCCCACCCACCCCCTCACACATCTCTCATTTCTCCCAACAAGAAGCTGTAAGGCAGAAATAGTGTTTATCTTGTCTTCCAGGTGATTGGTGAATGTATCTTGCATGTTTAATCCTATCACAGAGAACTTGACACACGGAGAGGCTGTTATGGAGAGTTATGGAGTTATGGAAATGAAAAGTACTTTTGCTTTTAAAGAACTCTTCCATCTGTTTTGACAGTTTATCTTCTCTCTACCAGCCCAAGACATAGCTTACATGGAGAAAATCAGGTGCATGAAGCTTTCAAACTTGCCGGGAACCATACAGCTCGTTAGGTATGAAGTGAGTGCTCCTAGCTCCCAACTTGGCATTCTTTTCCCTAGAACATGCTGTAAACCAAATGCTAGACAATAGATCTGAAGGGAAGAGAAAAGGAATTTGAGATTTTTTTTAACCTGCAAAAGTGAAATCTAAAACAAAACAAAACAAAACAACAACAACAAAACCAAAACACCTTACAGTTTTCAAGCCCATGTAAGTAACAAGGTTATCATGCAGTTAGCATTTAGTGCAATTTATGATACATGAAGAAGAACCATATGAAAAGGGAACAAGACAACATGGATGGACCTCGAGGACATTATGCTAAGTGAACTAGGTCATGCAGAGAAAGACAAATGTTTTAAGTTCTCACTTCTATATGGAATCTAAAAAAAAAAAGAAAAAAAAAAGAGAGAGAGAGAGGAACAAAAAACCCCAACCTCATAAATAAAGAACAAAGTGATAGTTGCTAGAGGTTGTTGGGGGGAGGGCCAAAGTAGATGAAGAGGATCAAGAGGTAC